TTTTAGCGCAGTCAGACCATGCCCCTCTCATGTGGCACACACCCCTGTACCAGCGTACGTGTAATCCCGTTATTCGAGTAGGCACTTGACACCTTTTGGAGTCCATCTTGGAAGAGAAAGGACATATTGCTTGGTGGATACATCGTGTAACTGACCCAACATGTATACGTAAGCGAATAAGCATGTATATGCGCATGTGTGAAACGTGTCGATGGGTTAAGCCTCACTGCATGCGGCAGCGCGTTTAGACAGCCTATCTATATTTGATCTCTTAGAACATGCGACCGGTAATATCGGAATTTGAACTTTGTGAGCCGTTACATTCATCGAGGTAGCTAGCGATAATGTTATCGATGAGGATACAGCCAAGCTGTTCCTCGACATTCTCTTCTCTTTCCTCAGGAAAGACCTGAGAAGTGATATCCTGTGGCCTGAGAAAGCGCTTGGAGGAAGACTTTCTCGCGATTGTTTTGTTATCAATATGAGTGAGAGACCTGCACTCATAGGCGTATAAGTGCTCTACACCACCGCGCGACCAACTACAGACAGCTCGAAACGTATACAACGTGACGGTTGGGCAAGAGTCGGCGTGATTGCGCTCGCAGTAGAACGTGCTGGGTCAATTATAAGGAGAGGACTCCAGATTCAAGAATGCATTGAAGGGCTGTGCACTAATGCAAGCAGACGCCGAGGGACTGGTAAGACAGAGTGCAGTGGGTGGAGTGAGACTTCAGGTACAGTGGCTGCCCGCTTTTCCGCAGTGCCTGAAAAAATAAAAGAATGAAAGCTCACCGTGGTCGACATCTTGGTGTAAGACGGATTAAGTATTGCATTGTTGTCTTACACTTGAATCACAATACAGTAGCGAACAGATTTTACAATACCAAACTTTCGGTATTTATGAATAAAATGAAGTGGCCTGATCACTATTTAAGTAAATCAGACCATTTGCTACAGGTGAAATGCCAGTGCACTGTAAATATCACCCAGTGTCTTTGAATGTGGTCGAAGCGGATTGTTGAGCTTGTAACAACAGTCACTTGAGGTTCGAGATTAATAGATGTGAAGATGAATTAGCGCTTTGTCCCTGAGAGATCTAACTGGAGGAAGACTCCGACATTATTGCAGCTCCTCTTTCAATCAGTGCATTCGTTTTAGTCATTGCCAGATTTCTCGCATTGCAATGCAAACTTGATTTTTGATCACGATTCGTTTATTCACAGGAGTCAATCATTCCTGCTGTTGTTTGTCCGATAACGTCATGAAAGAAAGACAAAACGTGGGACTACGCGAACTAAACGCACCGCGTAACTAAATAGCGTCAGCGGTGAACTAGAGTCGAATATTTTGACATTGTAATTTGTCGAGCTGAGTAGAGCATAAACGTGAGATTGTTCGATGAAAAATACGAGAAATCTTTCCAAACGGTTTAGTCAAAACGATTACGTCTTTAGCGATAGAACTCACGACTGCTGCAAATACAGTGGCTGCTTGGATTACAAGAGTCACTTCGTACGCCACGATGGTTATCAATTGGCACATCACGTATGGGTACGTCGTCTTATGATCGCACTTTCCAAGAAGTAACATGAGGTACCATTGTCAAACGGTGGTGTTTTTTAATGTCTACATTGGCCACACGTAGCGATATCCCGTAAATATGTGTGGATTTTACTTTTATTCAGTTTGATTTGAAGCAATTTTGCTAATAAAAGCTTTTAAATGCAGAAATATGTCATTTTTACGGACGACGAAGCTCATCATTTAACCAAAAACTGACTTAAAAAGCTTATTAATTACATTCATTCATGATCTGTCTGCGAAAATGCATACGCAAATCCGTAGGAATTACGTACGTACCCGTTACTACATCAATCTTCAAGAACGTATTTCTTGGATTGTCCAACAACCCGCTAATCATTTAGATCTTCCGGAGATTCATTGTCTCATTAGCCAGACCATCAGCGCATATTGCCACTGAGTTCCTTTTCAACTATTTAAAAGTAACGATACCATGTCCAAAGACTTGAAATTTCCAGAAGGTTTTATCTGGGGTACGGCAACAGCCTCGTACCAAGTAGAAGGCGCAGTGAATGAAGGTGGACGTGGTGATAGCATTTGGGATGCCTTCTCTCGCACTCCTGGCAAGGTTGTGAACGGAGATACAGGTGAGAAGGCAGTTGACCATTATCACCTTTACAAAGAAGATGTAGAACTCATGAAGAAGATGGGACTTAAATTCTATCGTCTTTCACTTGCATGGCCGCGAATTATTCCTGCTGGTGTTGGCAAGGTGAATGAAGAAGGGATTGAATTTTATGATAATCTTATCAATGAATTGCTAGCCAATGACATTACGCCACTCGTTACGCTGTACCATTGGGATTTGCCCTTGGCTCTGCAGATCGAGTATGACGGTTGGCTTGGTGGGAGATTTATTCAAGACGCTTTTACGCAATACGCTCGCGTATGTTTCCAACGTTTTGGCGACCGTGTTAAGAATTGGTTAACGTTAAATGAGCCATGGTGCTCAGCATTTTTGGGTTATGGCAATGGTGTTCACGCACCAGGACGCAAATGCAATCCCCAATCTGAAGCGTACATTTCAGGACACAATTTACTACTGGCTCACGCACGTGCCGTGGATGCTTATCGTCATGAATTCCAGGCTGTACAAAACGGTCGAATTGGCATCACTTTGAATTGCGATTGGCGTGAACCAAAGCCAACAGATGATCCACTGGAAAAAGCTAAGAACGAAGAAGCTGCCGAACGCTCGCTGCTCTTTTCTCTAGGCTGGTTTGCTGACCCCGTCTACAGAGGAGACTATCCTCAAGTCATGAAAGATCGATGTGGATTACGTCTACCAAGATTTACGGACGAGGAGAAAAAACTATTGAAAGGTAGTTCGGACTTCTTTGGTTTAAATCACTATGGGACAAACTACACAGAACCGTCTGATGCTTATGAAGCCAAAATTCCACCACCAAACGATACCACTGGTAGCTACAGTCTTGATGAAGGCACAAAGCTGACATCTGATAGCTCGTGGAGACGCACCGACATGGGGTGGAATGCTGTTGGTTGGGGTTTTCAAAAATTATTGGTCTGGATTCAAAAACGCTACGAGGTCTCAAATGGCATTCTGGTTACGGAAAATGGCTGCGCGTGGCCGGACCGTACGAAGGAAGAGGCGCAAAACGATGACTTTCGAGTCGAGTTTTACAAAGAGTATTTGACAGGCTTGCACAATGCGATGGCTGAAGGCGCTGATGTTCGTGGCTATTTTGCATGGTCTTTCATCGACAATTATGAGTGGGCTGAGGGGTACACGAAGCGCTTTGGATTACACTGGGTCGACTACAAAACCATGGAGCGGACGCCGAAGAAATCAGCGCTCTGGTTCGGCAATGTCATTCGCGACAACGGATTTGCTGCCTAGTTGAAGAAAGCGGTAGTGTGAGGAGTTTGCAAGTTGTACGCAAAAGATTGACTACCTTGCATATTTCACCCTTCAATAAAATTCAAGTCTTCTATACGACGCGCTAGTTATTTGAGACTGTGAGATCTATCCAATTCTTTTCAGATTAGGCTGGAGCAAACGCTGAGACGTCTGTCCGAGAAAATAAGAGGACAATTATACTGTGCTGAAAGCGATCAGAATTTACTTATAAACAAGAACTGCATCATTGTGCCTTGTTGCTCTACCAAGCCTCTTGGGGAACGTCAACAAGATTTGCTCGCTCATTTATCAGCTCGAACTTCTAAAGTCTTCGTGGTTGATTTCATGTGTACGATGAACGACGTGGTATTACATTATCTTGCATGTTCATTAAGCTGTACGTTCGACATGTGACATTTGAAGTGGTAGTTTGACGAGATGTCAGGATATCCGACGTGAAGTGCTAGTGCTTCTGTCAATGAATGTATTTCCGCTGGGCGACAACATGTTTATATATGACCGTTTTGATTATTACCTTACTATCTACATTATTACTCGAATTTGAAAATTCGAGTAATAATGTAGATTTAGTGTATGGCGAAACTATATATTTATAGCTAACACAGATCGCCGCTAAGTTATCAGTATTTACGTCATGCTTGGCCACATGCCAGAGCGATAGAGCCTAGCCCTACCTACACATTTGGCGATTACATCATCATTGGTCTACTCCGATTTGGTACGTTGATGCGAGCACGAGTTGGATTCTAGTCATGTGTTAGTGATTGGATGGCATCACTATGGTGTCAACCTCGATAACACATACACTTATACAATACTGTTTCTCCCCGTCAGTTTTCCTCTCTGGGAGGTTACAATTTCCTTCGCACCTATTTACTTTTGCGTTGCCTTAGACCTTTTGGTGTCAATTAGGATATGAAATTATGCACCATGCCTGCTGCACAAGACTTTCAGCCAAAGTCTTCACCGACAAGTGACGACAATAACGCGACGTGAAGCCGATGCATGCTCTTGACGAAGCGGTTTGCTATATTGTGAACAAAAAGACGAGTTCAAGCATCACGGACCCAAGCTCCACGCTATTACCTTGAAATAGAAATCTGACAAAAGCATGCTCCCTGAATAGTGGCTTCAACGTTCTGCACACATTCATAAAGGAAGAGAGATGGCATGGACTCGCTGATTTCTGCAAATCTACTATAGTTTATGGGCGGGACTACAATAAAAAGGTCCGTGCAAGCCATACTCCCAGATCCTACTCTTTTTGACAATTTCTATGATGTGAACATCTTACATCAGCATCTCCAGCTCTGCTGCTCATATCAAAATTTAGCACAAAGTTGGTGAGGCTGTACAAGCGTTTTTTTCTTCTAAGCTCTGCGCTGGTGGATTAATTATATCACTGCAAAGTATTGATTACGCCTACGGACGATCTTCTGGCGTTTTATGCTTCTGATGAAATGTGAACTTTTGACTTTTATCATTTACTGCACGTAAACCATCGAGAGCGGTGCAAAGCACCACATCTACGATATCAAATCATACCCAACTTGCTGAACAGCATAATGAAAGCAAAGTGGAAGTAACTGTCGGTATCATTGTCGCTCGCTACCAGAGTATCGAAATCATGATCAAGGGAATCGTTATGCCGGACGGCAACGAGATGTATCAATTTACGTCGCTTTGCAGCAGATATATGATTTGCGATTCCAAGTGATGTATAGCGATGTCAGCACGCAGGCGGCGCACAAAAACGCACATCAAGTGGTTGTTCAATGGAGCTTGGCAACGTGGTATACATGCTATAAGCACCATCTCTTCTATTTACGTGGAGATGGTGGTGGTTGATGCTGATCTGCATAGCATTTGCATTGACTGACGTGCTACGCGAGATGCTTAACACATGCATGACTTTGGACGCCTATGTACCTCATAGTTAGCTGTCTGCCGTTAGCAAAAAAAATGGTGCAGAGCCGATTTTGGGGCATTTGACCAATGCTGCTATGACACGTTCAAGCTGCTCTACTTCGACATCTGTAGCCCCAGAGAAAATGACTCGTGGACAAGCCGAAAATATTTGCTGCCGATTGTGGTCGAATCTAGCAGATGCATGAAAGCTTGAAGTCTATCTCTCAGGCTGAATGCTAACGAAGGTCTCAGGAGATGCATCAAATGCAATTTGCCAAAGATTTCCTTTGAAGATTGAGGCGTCAAACAGCACTCCACGATTTTAAATACGCACCAAACAAATGTCTTTGTAGAACGCGCAATTCGGTCTATCCTCTTGAGCTGTTGCATGCCAAGTTGGAGGAGTTTATCTGGATCAAAGCAGCAATGGCTGCTATCGATGTGACAAACCACGTGCTGCTGCTGGAGATCTGCAGCAAAACTCGGTATGAGAACGTGTACAAGTAGATCTGGATTTATGAAGTTGAATTTCTATATCAAAATGCCGAAGAAGAAATTGGTATGCCGTGAGCTCATCTAGCAAATCGACGTCAAATAATTTCATCGACGTACGAAGCAAGCATGGGTGAAGCTAAGCCCGAGTATTACCAGACTTCTAAGATGTTGTGGGAAGTCATGACGAAGACCCATCCTTATGATATACATCTGACAAAGTGATTAAGATAATTAGCAAGAAATTTCGTCCCATTCTTCTCATCAGGACACTGCGAGTTTCTGAAAATACACTCATTCGTATGCAATAATATAATTATCTCCTCTTTAGTTGCTGACCACTCCAGCACGGTGATTTTATCGTCTTGCTTTATTTTGCGACTGCTCTTCAAGCTCGATGGAAGCTACTGCTTAGGATGTATATGGGAAGACTTAGACCTCCCCGGAATTTTATTAGCAGTATATACACACCCCGTGAGCCATTAATGCTCCAAATGGCGAGCGCGTCAGGATGACCCGACAGTAGTGCAATCGCAACATACAGTGGCCTGTCTTCAAAATGAATCTGCGTAGGGGACCGCGGTATTAATCACTCCACGAGAATAAATTCTGGGTGTTGCGACATTAGCTTGCTCTTATCTATTACATCATTACTACTCACTGGGTGCCGGCTGTACCTATTCAGCTTTTGTCTCATCGGAGATAAACACCATGACTACGACTTGCTGTCTATGAGTTTGATAAAACACATCTAGTAATATTGATGCTGTGTTCGGTTGAACAGGATACGAAATATATATTGGTGTGCGTACACCTTGCACTACTGTCACAATCGTGCAAAGCCAAGTTCAGCTATACCAAGCAAAATATTCGATGGAGTATGGACGGTGTCATCACGGATGAGGATACGGGACTTTGGAAAATAATACGTCAACTGCTAGCCTCCCTCTATGCATTACCGAGATTGTTTAGTATAGTCAGAGAAACAGATATCTTCAGTTCCATTTTAATTAACCTTGATTGACAATTTCCGGATATATGACGCATGGCGGTGTATAATGAGCGGATGCATCAAAGGTATTGAATGTGGATACAATATTCGTACGTCATGCGGCAGGATCACAAGTTTAAATTTCAGAACTTAGAAATAGCTTTTCTTTAAAGTTTACGCATTTTAGCTGTTCGATCCTAAAATTTGGGTTCAAGGCACGATCTTTTTGAGCAAAACGCAACTGGAAGACAATTACTTCATGGATTATATCGGAGGATCGACGCACTATGATGCTAATGAGTCGGATATCGACCTTAGCTATAAAACTAAAGCATTTTCGGTACAACAATGTCGCTGTAGAAGCTGTTGTTCGACATGCATCGGAGTCTCACGCATAGAAAGCGTCATTTTTTTACTTTCGCGATCAAAACGCACAGATTATGTGCTCGGACGCTTCACAAAAGCGGAAACCAGCTCCTTCCTATGTTTAATGAGCTCGCTTTATATGATCTTCAAATCAACCAAAACTTTGCTTGGCTTCTCGAAATTAAAGCTCTTAATATCCCGAATTGTGAGATCCATATATCTGAGAGCGAGCCGTTTCACCAGGGCTGGATTCAGCTTGGTCTGAGGCACGCTGAAACCAAATTTAAACTATGACTGCCTTTTTTAGTTTTGGCTATCAGCCCACGCATACTACGGACCGCTCATCGTTTGTTCACAATCCTTATAGGAACGATACTCTCAGAATGCAATGATATCTTCGAGTTGCTTCGAAAATATTCTGTACGCAAGAATATGACAATTACTAAATTAAACTTCGGTCTACTCGACCACATACGTGACACCAAAAACATTATTTCTAATGCTACAAAGGGAGTAAGTCCCAGTCAGCTATTGATTGATTCAAGTCCACATTTCAAATGATAACCTAAGATATTCACACGTAAAGTTTTCCTTAGCGGTGGCCGATCGTGGCGCTATCGTGGTAGAGACTTTTGTTAATCGCATAATAGCGACTCTTGTGCTTCCCCTAATTTGCGTAACTTGTTTTTCGTTCATAATTTGCAACTCGATGTTGACTTTATGTAACCACACAGGCGTCAACTTTGCATCATAAAGCTGTGTGGTCGGTCCATGTGGGGATTTTATCGGCAGCGGATTGTGGCATTGCCCCGCTTTCGGAGCGCCCGCCTCGATTCTTTTAAAAGCTATAGCTGACAGCACAATTTGATGACATTTGAATCTGCAACTCTTCAGAATCGATATGGCTTGCATAAGTCTATCCCTATATCGATATAAATCTAAAAGCACGGTAGTTCCTTTCAGTATTTGAATGTCTAGCGGATGTCAGAGTACGGTTTGTCTAAGCCGTAACAGAGAAATGTGGGTCACCGCACCGATCAATCAGGCGCTCGTGCTTCTCGAGCATCAGTCTGACTCAGGGTCATGTTGCGTTTATACATGTCTCAGACCATTGACGGGCTCGCTCATTTGAAGAAAGTCTGCAAATTTTACAGCCATGTCCGTAAGATTAATACCAAAGTATTATGTGCTAGACTTGTTGACACCGACAGGTTACTCTTTCGTATAAAGCACATTCACTTCGCTGTTCAACAGTCTGACGAAGTTCGGCGCTCTTATTTACATCATACGTGCTCTCTGTTTGCCCTATCAAAGACATTATGTCCCCCGACTTAAAAACGAAACATATGTAGCAACACTCACGTCATTTGATATCTGACCGATAGATACTGCTTAGTTAATGGTCACTACTGTTAATGATGTTCTTTTATTTATCCCAATCGAGAAAGAGCGAAAAATTTAATTTACTTATTCGGCAACGAATTATGGATTGCATCCGCAATTGTCAAGGCATGGGCGTGCGGCCGGAAAATACTTTTGTGTCGGTTTTGAACATATTCACCTCGAGGCGTGAAGATCTACTAGAAATGTCGTCAGCAGGAGCAACTCGTAAATGTGCTCATTCCATTCGCGCCATTCAAACTCACAGACAAGAAAGTACGAAAGCCGGCGAAAAACAAAGTCTGCCGGTATAAGGCGACATTCAGTTCCTTACTTGATTACGCGTTAGTAGATAACGTAATCAACAAATAATGATCGTAGATTCGAGCGAACCAGAATTGTTTTTACGTTATCTACTAACGTAAAAACAATTCTGGGTCGCTCGTCTGTTTTCATATCGAGCACGGGTCCAAGGTAATGGTCTGATCGTCACTCCCTTCGTATGGGTGCTCTAAAAAGCTAAATACTGAAGTTGCTTCAGAGGCTCACGCATAGTGGCTCCCTAATGTTGCGAATCATCTCACGCTTACTCTGGTGGTTGAACACACAACACAACGCTTACTCTGGTTGGAAGCACACGCCGATGTAAATGGCGAGCTTGACTAGCGACGATGTCAGGGAGCTTTTAAGGCCCCACACTTCGTCGATGCTTGATGTTTTCAGCGATGTATAACAGAGAGTCATTCAAATAAATTAGAACGTAGCAATCCATTACATTCAAGGAAAATTACCTACCTACATAAGCGAAGGAGTGACAACAGCTGCTACCGCGTGTAGTGAGTTGCTAAAAAGCATCGACCTTTAGAGGTGCAGCAAGAATTAAGCTTCCAGTGAACAATTTTTTACGGTCTATAGCCTTTGAAAGACTTGTATTCAGGATTATATTGATGAGAACTGATTAGATTTTTGCCACCTTACGAGTTGCCTGCAAAAACGCTAATTTTTAAAGAGGATTATTTATGTAATTGGCTCAGACTCTTATCCGTTTAGAGAACCCGAGAAACGAGTCATCAGACATGTCGTACTATCTTTGCCATTGAGTTTTACGCTTTGCACTAAAATTATGGCTGAAATATTGATTAGATCAGAGTACCAACAGTGCGAATTACGTATACTATGACGCAATCGGTGAGGAGGCAGCTTGTACTCGCAAACACAGAATTCATGCTCGAGATTGGGTATGGTATCTGGACAATTGGCGCACATTCTTTTGAGTTAGGAAAAGCTGGAAGAATTTGTCTGTCGCATTACAGTTAACAAGGAGTTTCTTGCAAAGCAGTCGAACCGAACTCTGTCATTTTAAAATTTCCTTTTACGAAATATATCGAACTTGGCGCTCTATTCGTATGTGCATCGAAATCGCCAAGATCATTAAAAAGCCAGGATACAATTTATGGCTATTCTTCAAAACAAGGATCTGACGTGTATTTTCCGTAAGATAAACAAAACGTTTTCATTCAATCGCCTGTCTGGTTCTGAATATGCTACGCTATCTTCTCGGCATTCGCACGGAATCAGGTCCTTTTTTTATTTTTTTCCCTACTTGATCTAGTTATAAATGACGTATGTGACTGATTTTTATATAAATTATCTTAGGGGATTCGTACTGATCCGTAAGTTAAGCAATCGTAAGGTGTTTTCTATATCGCCAAAGACTTGTCCATAAGGAATCAGCAGTATTAAATTCGCAAGCTATTGATAACATGACCTGGACTTGTATGCACTGCACTCTAGTGAATAATAATGACACGTCTGGCAATTGTGAAGCCTGTAATGCTATTCGTGTACTGCAATGTCCTTCGTGCAAGGGCGAGATCAAGTACGTGAGGGCTGTTGTTTTCTTCTCTTTAATCGTTTAAATTATATTTTGCCTGTGGTAATAGATACGGCAGACGTTTGAATGTGAATGGCAAGACTTATCATCCAGACTGTTTTTGCTGTACAGGATGTAAACGTCCGTTGCCAAGTCGATTTCAGATTGTCAATGGTGGTAATTATCATCCAGAGTGTGCTCCAAAACCAAAGATTATTAATAAGACAACAACTTTTACCAAAACATCGATCAATGGCCACCCTGAGCAGAATGAAAATCATAGTAGCAATACGAATGTCAAATTAAATCACAGTATCAACTCCAATGGAACAAAGCATACTTCGGGTGGCTGGAACTGTTCTACCTGCACATTCTACAACGCAAATGGTTTGACACCCACTTGTGAAGTGTGCAATTCTATTCGTATTATGATATGTCCAGGGTGCAAGGGCGAGATTAAGTGCGTTCATGCAAAGTTTAAAGAAGAAATTTTTGGACTTACAATCTTTGATGTGTACAGGGTTGGACAACGTGTGAATGTTGATGGTAAAGTTTATCATCCAGACTGTTTTCGTTGCACTGCTTGCAATGGTAACTTTACAACGAATAAGTTTCAAGTCAAGGATGGGGGACATTATCATCATGAATGTTACAAGCAGCTCTTTCATCCGCGGTACTCAACACTTTTGCTAACTAGCATCTACAAATGACTTCTAACTACTCTGCACAGATGTAATGTATGCGAAGACTTTATTGCTTACGAACCAGGCACACAAAAGATCTCGTTTAAGGTTAGAATTTTCGGTATCTGACATCTTGATCGGAAAGGTATTGAGCTTAAATTGTTTTCAGGTCATGCCTTTTGGAGGAGAAAAATACTGTGCTAAACATGACAATTGTGACCGCTGCTGCAGTTGCCAGCGTGTTGAGGTTCGTCTCCATGGTTCTAAAAATATTTACATTGCTGATTGTTTCTACTGGAATGTGGTAGCCGGTTGTTCCGGGACGAGAATTTCACAGACTTAGTGACGGCCGTAAGATATGCTGCGAGTGCTGCAATTACGTGGTTCTTGATTCCAATGAGGTATATGATAATACAGATCTATACGTTTGTGATGCAATATCATATAATACTATTCTGTGGCTATAGGCTCGGGACGTGGTCAAAGAAGTGTGGGAATTCATGCACGATCTTGGCATTTCTCTTCCGGAGGTATGTCAGCTCTTTCAATTCAATGACTGTCTTACTAAGAATCTGTGTTTATTTGATAGATTCCAGTTTATCTTGTCGAGTCTTCTGTTCTTAAGGAGCAATGCAACGCTCACAAAAAGACAAATGCTCTAGCAAATGATAAAACGCATGTTGAAGGCCATGTGACTCGTGGTTTGTGCCTTTCAGAGGTCTCTCAAATCCAACACATGGTTCGCTCTGGTAAAAAAGCTGTTCCTCACGTCGTCTCCATTGAAAAGGTTTGTAGATTTCATCAAATACTTCATCGCATAGAACACCTCACGAGTGTATGACATTCTGGATTAGACCCGCTCGGTGAACGCCATTTTAATTCTGCACGGATTGCCGTACGATCTTACAGCATCAATCCTGGCACACGAAGCCACCCACGCCTTCATCAAACTTAGTGACAACTTTCCAGACAAAATTCCTCCCAAGGTACTACAACGGCATAAAGTGATGCGAAGTTTAAGACTGACATTAAACTGATCTTGTATCAGGTCGAAGAAGGCATTTGTCAACTGATGAGTTATCTGTTTTTAAAGTACAAACAAATGATGAAGAGCGACGAGTTGAAGAAGCGTACATACGAAAGTCGATTGCGAAAGTTTTACATGCATCAACTTAAACACGATACGTCTCCGGTTTATGGTGACGGTTTTCGTGAAGCGTACGAAGCATACAGAAGAGTAAGCTCGCTCCAGCGAATGTTTGACTCGATTCGGCACAGTGCAACATTTCCATAATCTACGACAGCATAGACATAGTCAGTCTAGTTCCCCTTTGCACAGCGTAATAACGCATCCAGAACGGAGCCCTGAGCTTCCAACTCAGTGGAATGAAGACAGCGTAAGCGTCGAAGCTCTTGCTGCAAGTGTTCCACTTGACCTTGAAGTTGCAAGCATTTACTGCGATCTAAAGGTGAAGACTTAACAGAAAAGCAGGTAGCACTGCAGCACTCATGTTCCTGATTTTCGTCTTCTTTATCACTGCTATCAGATTCATATAATACCACTTCATTGGAAAGTTCGTGTTTGAGCATCTTATGCTGATTTTCTATCCTTTTATGATATGTCATGTCATGTTTCTTCTCGTTTCGTAGGAAGCAAAGCTTGTACTTCAAGTCAGATAGGTCACGTCGTAGTCTGGTTTCCGTTCGATGAGCCTTTTGCAAAAAACTCTGAATATCGTGTACCTCATTTGAACGTTGTTGAACTGCATCACTAGCACACACAAGTTCATGTTTACACTGCTTCAGCTGTTGTCGTAATTCATCTGCACAAACTTCAGCAACTTTTTGCTGCTTAATTGCTTTCTCTGCTCTTCTTTTCAACTCGGAAATCGTTTTTTTCTCTTTCGCTTCATGTTCATTTTCAAGCTTCTTTTTCTCACATTCAAACCGTTGCAATGAAGTTGTGAATCGATTTTTCCACTCCATTTTTTCTCGTGAAAACTTAATCCTCAACTCATTCAAATCAATTTCAATGCTCTTTGTCTTTTCAATCTGATGCTGCAATGCACAAGTTTTACGCTTCAATTGTTGTTGACATTCTCGCAATTGTAATGTCAATTTTTTATTCTGCGCTTCAATCGAATGAACTCGCGTCTGTAAAACATGCGATCGCGCCTTCAACTGTACCATAGCAACTTGTGTTTGCAATGATTGTGCCTGAGTTTCATCTACTTCACTCGTCTCTTTTAACAATTCAGCCTGCAAACGTGGGAGTTTAGCAGCATAAATTTCGTTTTCAGTCTTCAATTTACTTAATTCAGCCGTCGACCGCTGCAAAGTCGTAGTCAAGACAGAATTCTGAGTCTTTAAGCGAGCATTTCGATCCGATAATTTCTTGCAATCACTTTCAGCTATCGAAAGTTGAAGCTTAAACGTACGTGTTGCATTTGCCAAGTTAGTATTAGCGAGATCAAGGCGAGCTTGGAGAGCTGCCAAGCGCGATGCTAAATGTTTTTCGATGTTTCTATCCTCCTTTTGAGGCTTTTCGCTTGAAGTCGGCAAGGATGTATTAGAGGAGGCAATCACTTGATTTGTACTCGTCTTTTGTGCAAGTTCTATGGAGCCGGCGCTCTCATAAACGACGGGGAACAATAAATCAACTGTATATGTTGCCTGCTTTTCCGCAATTGCAAGTGAGCTGAAATCGGGCGGCTCGTTGTTTGTTTCTAGTGGCAAGTTTTCGCAGGAATGTTTGACGTAAGTAGTATCACGATCAGCTACTTCCGATTTTACTTGATTTGAAAGAGATGTGGACTTTTTCAATTCTTCATTTGACGACAACACACTGTGGTTAAGATTCACTGGTGCTATGTCGACAGCAGCTACTGTATCATCTTGAATCTCGCAAGTTGTCTGGATTGGCGAGTTCAACAATGTGTTGTGGTGTGAAGTCAAATGCTGAGCACAATCGTCAAAGTTTTCTCCATCTCCCTCATAGAGCTGAGGGATTATATCGTTCCCGATCTGCTTTGACTCTACGTTCTGATAAGAATCGCCATTTGATACACAAATTATTGGGCTCTCACACGGTTCTATTGCAAGCGGTGACTGCTTCTTCTCTATTTCAATTCTTGATAGGTGCTCAATCGGTATTTCATCTCCAGATTGGCATGTCGTAAGTGTTATTTGACTTGAAATGAAATCGACCTTTTCAGCAAAATCGCGGGATTCTTGATGTTCTCGTTCGCTTTGAATAGGACTTGATTCTTGAGCACTAGGTTCACCACTATTACTTCGATTGAGCGTGTTTTCAAATACAATGAGATCTCCATTTCGTTCAATTTGCTGACAAAGTTCTAAATTCTCGTCTTCGCTATCTTGACATTCATTATCACTTGAACCTCTTCCATCATCACTCATCGTTTCTTTCATCCGAAATGATAGCTATCATGGCATGCGGGCTGATAAAAATACGCCATAGAATCTTAATTTAGCCGCTACATCGACAAGTCAGCTTAAATTTAAGAGAAGTATATGGGTAACATGACAACATCGAGACTTCATACAATTTTGTCAAAAGCGGGACATAAGGTAAAGGTGTTTACTAAAGTTCTCTTTCTTCATTAAAAAAGAGTCAAGCGTACGAGCATAATTGCAATTACTGCAGCTTAAGCTCACGAATTCACTCGAGGACTCAAATTGTTCAGAATATGTTCAGGCGATGCCTTAAGCGAAGTGCTTCAACGTTAGATTGGCTGAAATGCTAATGATCTGGATCAGCAAGCAGTACTGGAAAAGCATTTCAACTCCGAAAGGATTGACACTATGCTATCAAAGAAGTGGATATACAGGCAGGCGTACATGCAGTGAGTAATCTCAAGTTTCTCCACCGATCGACTTTTAATACATGCAGAGTTTATAGTATTATTTTCCATGTCCCACATTTATAAAATCTGGTATATATTGATAATAGCACTGAAATTCTGCTTAGAAAAATCTTGTAATCTTGTTTGGAAGGTCTTTTAATATGAGAGGTGTGTGTATCTATGTTATGTGATGCAGGTACTTAACGATTGGAAAAATGGTGCGCCCCTAGCGTATTGTCTGCACTAACTGAAGATAGACGCTTGATCCAACGAATCGTTAACACGATGTAGAGCTCTTCGGACGCTTCTAAGAATAGCAACGCTAGCTCTACGCCCGGCGGACCTACGGGTGATGCTCAGGACCTTTCGGTTTTTGTGCGTACTACATCACTTTTATTGGCATTTATTCTTGAGTATCGATGACACTATATTGCTGCAACAGGTTCAGAGTTTGTTGGAGCAAATGGTACGTTCTTTTAGTTGTAATTGTGCTAGTGTAATTCTTATAGTGTGAGATAATCACTGTTATTGTGCTTTTTAAAGCAATCGCGTTTTGCGCAGATGTCAGATGCCATCATCGGAAGAAATATCCTTTTTACCTACTTATGATTCAGCGACTTTGATAAAATGTGCAAGTCTTATATCACGTTTCCTTAACTATACAGCTGTGCGATTTGCTGGTGTCATGATAGTGCACTTGATGAAATGGGATCACGGATCGATGAGTTGGAGAAGTCGATCGGAGACCTCGTGGACCAGGTGAGAGAAGAAGTACAACACGAAAAAATTAAAAAAGTCTGATCGTTTTCTATGTCTTGAACAGACGAATGAAGGAGGCGGTGAAAAGAGTCAAGAGCCATCAACCAGTGATACAGCAACAGCTAAAGATAAAATTGAAAGTGTTTGATCGTGGGGTACGAAAGACAATAATCAGCGCAATTTGTATCGCATAAATACATTGCGTATTTGTATGCCACTATGATATCATCATTGTCTTTTGTATCTTCATGATATAAAAAATATTAGCATCAAAAATACTAAGTAAACGAAGACACTATCATAGCCATCGTCTAAAAGCTGTCAATTCACTGTAGAGGCCTAATCCTTCTTATCCTTAAATTCGGCGTCGTGGACATTGTCGTCCTTCTTATCGTCGCTCGGAGTACTCTCACCCTGCTGCGACTTGTATACAGCTTCACCAATCTTCATTGACATCTTTTGCACTTCCTCAAGAGCTGCTTTGATGTCTTCCGTGTTATCACCCTCAGCCTTCGTTCGTAAGTCAGCAAGAGCAGTCTTTACCTTTTCGAGCAGTTCGGCGTCAATCTTGTCTTCGTGTTCTTTCAACGTCTTCTCAGTCGTGTAAATTGTAGAGTCAGCGTCGTTTTTAGCTTCAATTAACTCCTTACGCTGCTGGTCAGCGGCAGCATTCGCCTCTGCATCCGCCACCATTTTTTCAATCTCAGCCTCAGACAGACCACCACTCGACTGAATGACAATGTTCTGCTCTTTGCCTGTAGCCTTATCACGAGCCCCAACATTTACAATTCCATTCGCATCGATGTCAAAACTTACTTCAATCTGAGGAACGCCACGCGGGGCAGGCGGGATGCCAACCAAGTCAAAGTTGCCGAGCAATTTATTATCAGCAGCCATCTCACGCTCTCCCTGTAATACCTTAATGCCCACTTGTGTCTGCGAATCTGCAGCCGTTGAGAACACTTGGGACTTCTTTGTGGGGATAGTAGTGTTACGTGGGATCAGCTTGGTAAACACACCACCAAGTGTCTCAATACCTAGGGAGAGAGGCGTCACATCGAGCAACAAAATGTCCTTTACATCACCACGAAGCACACCACCCTGGATTGCGGCACCCATAGCTACAACTTCGTCTGGATTCACACCCTTTGAGGGTTTCTTGCCAAAGAATTCCTCTACAGACGCCTGCACCTTAGGCATTCGGGACATACCACCAACCAAAATAACTTCATTAATATCACTCTTGCTCAAACCAGCATCCTTCACGCATTTCTTGCACGGACCCATAGTACGCTCAATCAACTTTCCAACTAACTTTTCAAAGGTGGCACGGGTGATTTTCATATTCAAGTGTTTGGGACCAGATGCGTCTGCGGTAATAAACGGCAGACTGATATCCGTCTGAGCCAGACCGTCAAGCTCTCGCTTGGCTTTCTCAGCAGCTTCACGTAGACGCTGCATAGCGAGATTGTCACCTGATAGGTTTATGCTTGTCTCTTTCTTGAACTCACTCACGAGGTAACGCAACAATTCCTCATCAAAGTCTTCCCCACCAAGTAGTGTGTCACCGTTGGTAGACTTGACTTCAAATACACCACCTGAAATCTCCAGAATTGAAACATCGAAGGTACCACCTCCAAGATCAAAGACAGCAATGACCTTGCCGTCAGCCTTGTCCATACCGTAAGCCAGAGCAGCGGCTGTGGGTTCGTTAATTATACGAAGCACATCCAAACCAGCAATTTTGCCGGCATCCTTAGTAGCTTGACGCTGTGAGTCGTTAAAGTACGCAGGAACCGTGATAACGGCCTGGGTAATAGGCTTACCCAGAAATCCATCTGCAGTCTCCTTCATCTTAGTGAGAACCATGGATCCAATTTGCGAAGGCGAGTATTTCTTGCCTTTGGCTTCAACCCACGCATCCTTGCCATTGTTTCCCTTGACAATCTTGTATGATACAACTTTGGATACTTCTTGAGTCTCTTTGTCATCGAATTTGCGACCAATAAGACGCTTGACAGCGTAAAATGTGTTTTCTGGGTTAGTCACGGCTTGACGCTTAGCAGGCATGCCAACGAGTCGTTCGTCATTGTCTAGAATGGCTACAACGGAAGGTGTTGTACGTGCACCCTCCGAGTTCTCAATCACACGTGGGGTCTTTCCCTCCATTACAGCTACACAAGAGTTGGTCGTTCCAAGGTCAATACCAATGACTTCAGAGCCAGCGGCAGCCGAAAACATGCGCTTAGAAGCGGTAGAAGCAGCGACGCGAGCGGGTGCTAGACGCAGCATTCTTTTATATTCGTTACCTTTGCGATTTTGAGCAAATTTGCAATTGAAGGCCATTGAGAACCATTCGCTCACATTTTGCATCACTACTGTCTCTGTACGTAAATCTAGATTAACAAATTCAAATTCGAAAACAAAAACTATTAGTTTCTAAAAGTTTCATTGTCAGATCAATATGATCTAAACTTGTGAATTTCTATTCTTTTAAAACAGGATGATCTACCACTTGCCGAAACACTGTGTGTCTTTCATTTTAGTTTATGCCGTTAACAAACAACAGCAGGAAAAGTTAGCTCGAATGAATCTAAGAACTTCTAGCACATAACCATAAATATATTCCTTCAGCTTGAAGTTTATATACTGACTTGTCGATCGTTCCAGAACATATAAGAAGGAATGTTTGTTCAATCGAACTTAACATGATTCTACTTTCAGAAAGAGTGCAAAAAAAACGATGGTGTCGCTCTTCGGCAAGAAGAAGGATGGTATGACGCTCCGTCCACGTGTACGTCGGTCAACCGCACTCATGGATCTAGGCATTGCAGTTGTATTAGGTGCTTTTACGGGCGTTTATATCTTTAAGGACTCGATGCAGCGCTGGCAGATTTCCGAAGGCGACTATGTAGCGGCGGAGCTTCGTAAGGCCGACAAGGCGACTCAAAATACAAAAGCTATGTCTGGGCCGGATTGAACAAGAAGATATTATTTTCGACACGTTATACTCTTAATCGACCATTGGCATATTTATAGACTGCCAATTTAATAGCAAGTAGAAATCGTGCAGTTGATATTAACACAAGTAACGCAATAAATTCAAGCTGGTCGGTCACTCTATCATCTCACTAATTGTCTATTTACATTGCAGTCTCATTTGCAGCCGATAATGCCAAAAATAGCGCCCAATCTCTATTTAATTGAGCGAAAAAAACGCATAGTTATTATAAGTTATTCTTAGTTTGCTTGGAAGCAATCAATCTTTGCTTACTTAAAACCATGTTCAAGTTCTTAAAGGCCAAGCACAGCCTGCACCGACCTTAACATTACAGCAGGATCAGAATGTGTGATTTTTTTAATATTCGACGAATCATCAGCTACGAGGGAGCAATCATCTGGATCTCTGAGGAGTTCGAGGCACTATTGAAAAAAATTGGGTTACTATGAAGTCAACACATTGTTTTTCAACATAGCAAACCTGAGCGTACTGTCGCCAGCCCGGTAGTCTCACAAACTCCCACAGCTTTAGATCTATATGTCCAACTTCATCAGCTCCAGCTAGTTTTCGTCCCGTAATCCAGGGACAAAATTGTCGGTGTTGCGAAAGTAGATCAACAGCATTTGATGTGGCAAGCTTCAAGCGCTTTACTTTTGGTTCAGACATATCATCGTCATTCTCGTTGCTAGTGATTGCCGGAGAAGCTTGCCAATGTCGATTACAAAAGCCGCACTTTAATAAGACAACATGGTCCATAACTTTTGATTGCCATCCGCACCCAACAATAAATGTAGCGTTAACTAATACTTCATGGCTCACTGGTGTATCCCTTTGCAGATAAATACTCGCCGACAGCTTTGATGCTAGTGTTGTCGTGGTTAACACATTTCTACTGTCATCACTAGCGGCCACTTCATTTAATATCTTGTCTGTCACCTCATCTAAAACTTTTATGTTTCCAACAAGCTTCAGTAGCTCAGCGTCCTCAAGCATCTGTGCCACAAATTTCTCCAGTTGATCCATAAAACCTTCATAAACTTGACGCTTGGATGCTATCGGCAGCTGTATAAAGTATCAACAATTATAATCAACAACAACGCAAAATTGTGTTAGTCTCTTCTCACCATCGTGAATGCTACCGGGGATGGATTGCCTCGCCATGGACAAAGCAATGTGTGACCAGTGATCAGCTGCTGGGCAAATATTTTGGCCACATTGAGTACACCGGATTCGCTTAGTCTGTTGTCAATTTTGAAACACAAAATTTGTTTACAACTGCAGATGTGAGAGTCAGACCAAGCATTTCTTTCTTCGTCTTCCACAAACTACTCTCACCAAATGCAGGACAGCATATCGGGACCAGAGTTCCTCCATCCAAAACGGGAACATTCAAATGCATTGATTATTTCTGGCTTAGCGAACCATGTAGCGATAGAGAAGCTACTGACTCGTGCCAAAAAGTCTGCGTGGTCCCATGGGTGACTAAATTTTTTAATGGCCTTTATGTCATGCTGCTTAGGCTGCTGGTTTTTATACAAAGCAACAATTTCTGGTGCAGACGCAAACAACAATGGATCTTCTCTCTCTCGAGCGTCTACAGGCGCCGTAGCCTCATCCCAAGTCGCCAACAGTGCCTCAATCTCCTTCGGCTCGAGTGCTGCCATGGTCAACTCATAGTGTGTACATGAACTTTACATAAATAGCCTGTCCTCCATCATAGTAGATTCGGCTACAAAGGCGGCATATAGAAATAGTAAGTCAAGTGACAATGGCAGATGAAGCAGTGGACGTGAGCAAGCTTGAAGCGGAGGCCGTGAGTTTAGCTGGCGATTCTGGTGCGATGGATGCGGACAACAAGACCGTTGTGGCTCCTGCAGAGTCTGCTGAGGCTGTTGATGCGGAGATTGAGGACATGAAGCGTCGCGTGAAGGAGATGGAGGAAGAAGCAGCTAAACTAAGCGAGATGCAGTCGGAAGTAGAGTCTCAAATGGGAAAGAATACTGCTTCGAGCCTAAACGAGATGAGTGGCAGTGCTTCAGGTGCCGCAGCAAATGCCCAGTCACAGTTAGACGATACGTCCGTATACATTGGTCAGGTGGATTACGGCAGCACGCCTGAAGAGCTCCAGGCACTCTTTCAATCTTGCGGCACTATAAACCGCGTGACTATTCTATGCGATAAATTTACAGGCCAGCCAAAGGGATACGCATATATCGAATTCGCTTCACATGACGCAGTGGAGAGTGCGCTCCTACTAAACGACACGATGTTCCGTGGTCGGCAACTAAAGGTCACCCCAAAGCGGTTAAATGTTCGAGGATACAACATGTCACGTGGAGGAAGAGGAGGTCGTGGACGTGGACGCGGACGAGGTAGGGGACGTGGACCACCTCGAGGAGGATTTCGTGGCGGTCGAGGTCGTGGATTCCACCCATACTACTAAATCGGCGACGGTATGTGACCCTGTGAGTTCACCACCGTTGGTTTTATCTCAAGTCAATGATGGCAGAGCCGGCTAGGCTCAAAAAGATAACAATAGGGAATAAAAGAGGGAGAAAAGATGAAAAGGCCCCAAAGAAAAGAAATTAAAGAGGCATTCCCCCATATTGTCAATGATCTACGATCAAAAATAACACCGTAGATCCGATGGATAGATAGAATCCTGTGCTCAGACATCAGACGCAGCTCAACATAATAGTATTGATACATGGTCAGATTTATAAGTCATATGTGTCCAGCAGGATAAAAAGAGATAAACAAAGTGAGCCCAGCCAAGAATTAATGTAGTCCTTTCTTGTTGCGCTTAGCAGGAAGACCAGGATGGCCACTTGAGCTGCGTCGTTTGGCTGCACGAATCACCTTTTCCGAGTGCTTGGACGACTTGCCTGTAAAGTTTGCAACAACGTCAGTATAAGTCTTTAAAGATGTAAGCTTATACAATAAAAAGCTGAATGACGCACCTGTGTGTGAGATAGCCGTAATTGTTGCTGAATTACTGCCGTCACTTATAGCAGCATTACCTGGATGATCTATTTGCGAGAAAGTCAGCAAAATTGACGATTCAGTCTCAAGACAGAAACCCTACCGGATATTGTGATGGGAGTCGTGATCGGCTTGTACTCCTTGCCAGTAAGCGCGCGATAGCGTTCGCTCAGCGTTCGAACCTCAGTTTGTTTACTTTTCAAATGTTTTCGCAGCGAAAGCAGCCCCACAGCGTCTTGACGTAACTTGTCGAATGTTTCACACACTGTTTGGGTCGGCATAGGCCGAACAGGCACCCCCATCTCGTCTAACAGAAGCTGTAGCTTTTTTATAAGCTTTGCACTCATCGCATGCTTTTGCTGTGGTAGTGCTAGCAGCGAACTCCTCAAGATGACCCCTGTGGGAAGCGTGCGCTTTATCTCATATGGAACATCAGCCAGTTCCTTCTTTTTCTTAGGATCTACTCGAACTGACACTTTCTTGAGCTGCTGCTCCACACTACGAAGTTCATCATTGAGTCGTTGGAGTTCGTTTTCTTCTTCAGAGGTTCGAGAAAAGATAAGATCCAGCTGTTTCTTGCGTTGCTTTTCATAGTCAATGTTGAATTTATAGCCCTCCGACACAGCAAGGGCGGACACAGACGAGGTTGATGCACCCACGCCAACTTCTGCCTCGGTGACAGCGGGAGTGTTCATTGAATTTGTGTTAGTACAATCTCCTGCCGCAGCAGCATTTTGTTTGTTTTTCTCATTATCCGCTCTGTATGCAGCAAGCAATCGCGTCGTCTCGTAGTAGCAGTATTTAACATCCTCCACACATCGTGCTGAACCTTTACTTATCGGATTTGCATTGTACTTATCCAAAATAACGACCCAACTGAGCATACCAACATCAATTTTTTCATCAAATTCTTCGAAAGTCTCTTAGCAACCAAGATTTTTGACTACTCACCGTAAATCATAACGCTGGCATAGATTCATTAATAGATCCATCTCCTCCTTACTCCATTGCATCTTTGGGTCATCATGATGCGCAAGCACGGCCTCGTATTCCTTTTCTGTGTAGCTCGTCGTCTCACTTTTAACATTAAATCTGGCAAATACATAATCGGGTTGCTCTACGTGAGCTTTTCCCCAGTGTGAGAGAGTCAACCCTTTGTCCTCACCCTCGCCTGCCAATCCTGCGCGCGCCGGATTCCGAAATGACTTTCGAATCCATTTAACGGCCGGCGAGTTTTTCTTCTCTTGCCACTTTTGCTTGAGACTTGTTTTCCCAAATCCCTGGTACAGCGCATGATTAGCACGGTGGCTGCTCTCTAGCAGTTCCAGCACCTCGCGCTGCATGCCCGTTAGCTTCTTCTGCTTACCATTTCCATCAACCAGCTTTCCGCGCACCATCGGAGATGCACCTGATGGTTTGAGCTGATCTAGATCATTTGCTACGGCTGCATTAGCGCTCGACTGCGGTCCGGCGAGACCAAGTATTTGCGCGACGTCGCTCATTTTCACTTTTTAGTTTAGTTCACATGATTGGCTAAAAACAAAACTTGTTATATATCCAACATTTTCACGGAGATTGCGTAATGATCTAAAAAACAGAATGTAATGTAAAGGCATGACGACTCCTAAGCAAAGGAAAATGGTAAAGTTATCTCTAAGTTTTTGCCGTTTGTTTTGCCTTTGAATGGCATCAGTCCACTTTCTAAATTACCTCACTTCCACAAGTGCAAAAGTGATGTCACCAATCTAGCTACGTATGAGCCCAGTTTGTTCGTCGTCTTTCTTTAATGTCTTAAATTACGGCCACCTAGACCCCACTCGGCACATCTGTCTTAAAAGAGTCGCCTCACAACATCTGTGTATACCTCACACCCCGTGGCGCCGTCCCGCCTTCTCTGCAACAGCCCACCGTAGGTTTTTACATTTGATATAGATCCCTGTACAAAAGGTTTTTGATTGAGAAATCAACGATGGTGTGGATTACCTGGCTAAAACCCGCAGGTGCAATACGCCGCGTACTCTGCGTTACGATGCTCCGGTGGAAGTTCTCGTGACTCTGTGTGATCTCTTTAGGCTGACACTTGAACAGCAGTCAGTCATAACGTATTCTCAGAAGGGTTAAGCGACTGTTCAAATATTAGTTCTCTCAAGCAGCCAGCTTTATGCTGTGGTGTTTTCATCTTACTGGCGCTTGCTTTTTGCTGTTTGAATTAAGTTGTAGGTACTTTTAGCAAAGCAAATCTCCGCGTTGGTGTTCACAAAGATATCGAACCCTTAATCAAAGATCACGACCCAGTTTGTAAAATCCCAACATGTTCTTCTGCAAGCGCGAGTAAACGCCAATTCTCGTCAGAATCATCATGTCGTGATTGAGAGTTTAAGTGTCTGTAGTCGCTACCCGAGCTGGTGCGAAGATCATCTTTACCTATGCATACGAGCCAGCGCATTTATCACCTACAGACCCTGAAGCACCGACTGCGCTAAGTGCAGCAGTAATAGGAGATTTGTTCTCTACTTGGAGCAAAAACTTTGGTATTTAATCCTTAATAACATTCTTATCGGCACTCTCTGGCGAGGGTACGGATGACTATTTGACTATGTTTGTCTTTTGGATAAGTGAAACACGCCGCATTTCCGATTTTAAAGGCTTAACGAACTAGTGACGCTGAACAGACGCTCGTATAAAGCGTTGACTCGTTCCCAACTTTGCAAAGTACGAAAGACGACGCAATCGTCGAAAAAATTAATCATGAGCTCTATATAGCCTCAAGCAGTCTCGACGAGACAGCTGTGTGAACTGTATGTCACGATCCTTACTCATCACAAGAATGGTGGCGCGCTTCAACAGACGACCCTGCCTCTCCACCAATGGAAATTAAAGCTAAAGGTGCGCCTAGTCGTAAGCGGTCACAGTATTGGGGCGATGTTACTTAAGCTAGAGGTAAGACTTTGACCACTATATTAGAGATTTTCCTTTCACTTCAAAAATACTGCTACCAGTTTTGATTAGCCTGTTGGCCTATAAACAATCCAAATGATAGCGTGGGAATGTGTGTCCTCCCCAATTGGCTCTAGTGGTCTCTACCAGTTCTGCCGGTACATTGCCTATATCTGAGATTCTTGGATTGCGTTCATTCAAATCTGAAATGATATGAACTCAATTGATTATGACCAACCTTTGCCATCGTGATGCGCCAGTTGAAATATCTTCAGTGGCTCGTGTCCGCGTTACTGTTTTGACGCAGAGTGCTGCGGTGAATAATGTAGATCCTGATCAGTCAACAACAAAGCACTTCACATCCGATTAGTTCGTGAGAGTGGAATAGTGATTTGAAGTCAGTAAGGTCACCATAATCACGATTTTTTGGTGTGATAAGTAACATTTGATCCCTTCATTTCTATGACCATGATCGGTATGATATAGCTCGATCGCAACCTTGTCTAATACACCGCAGATAGGCGGAACATTTTTATCTATTGAAAGCATTTATTCTACAAAAATTTGCGTGTGTTTCGCTTGGCTCTGACATTGGCTTTCAGCCGCAGCTTCGCGCACCATGCGCATGATTCTTGATCTCATAATGACTGATCTAGCTACGAAAATATAGCGGGTCTGATGAAAGCAAGTCAAATCTGATTCACAATCCCAACCCCATAATGCCCGAAGTCATTTCATGTAGGGCCAAGGGCACCCGATATCTTATACCATTTATGCAAAACGAGTGAGAGTA